CCAGGCTCCGGCATTCCGGGATGCTCCACCCGGCACCGGTACTGCTCCCGCTCCTCCGGCTGCGCCTCGATCCTGGCCCAGGTGTGGAAGGTGCCGTCGCTGTTGGGAACGATCCCGCCCCACTGCGTCTCCTGATCCCGGATTTCATCCCCCTTCATCCAGCTGACTGCGATGGTCCTGGGGTAGAATCCGTACGCGTGGCAGGACAAGGTCAGGATCCCGTATTCCTCTTTTCCAGACACGTGGACATCAGGGGGCTCTGCAATGGGATAATGGTGAGAGACATCCATGGAATTCCATGGGAATGGGATTGGGTGAGATCTGCCCATGGAATTCCATGGGAATGGGACTGGGGTGAGATCTGCCCATGGAATTCCACAGGAATGGGATGGGGTTGAGATCCGCCCATTGAATTCTATGGGAATGGGGTGAGATCTGCCCATGGAATTCTATGGGAATGGGATTGGGGTGAGATCTGCCCACGGAATTCCATGGGAATGGGATTGGGGTGAGATCTGCCCATGGAATTCCCACAGGAATTATGTTCCCAAGTCCTCCATTCCCAAATCCCCAATTCCCACAGGGATTCTGCCCCCACCTTTGCGCTCCAGCTCCTCCTGCCCGTATCTGACATATTCCTGGAGCTCTTCCCTGCAGGTGTGCTCCAGGTAATCCATCCAATGCTCTATATAGTTCTTGTCAGCATTCCAGCGCCTCGTGGTGACCTGGGCAGCGCTGTCGGCCGCCACGAAGCTCTTGGATCCCGGATCGAAGGAGACGAAATCCCACCCATCGTAGCCTTCCTGGCGGAATCCACGGACACTCCCATCAGACAGGAGGTCACAGCCATAAACCTGGTGCACTGTGTGGAGACCTGGGGGGCATTGGACCCACAGAGAGCCATGGAATTGTGTCCCAGCCCCACAGAGCCCCATTCCAGTCCTATGGAGCCCCAGAGTCTGATGGAGACACACATAGCCTCATCCCAGCCCCCTGGATCCTCATGGATCCACATCCCAAACCCATGGATCACAAAATATCCCACACCAGCCTAATGGATCCCCATCTCAGCCCCTCGGAGCCCCATGAATCTACAACCGAGCCCCACTGATCCTATCCCAACCCTGTGGATCTCCATTCCAGTCCCACAGTTCCCATTCCAGCCCCACAGATCCCCATCTTAACCCCATGGGTCTCCACTGCAGCCCCACAGATCCATTCCAGCACCACAGTCCTCATCCCAGCCCCACAGTTCCCCTTCCAGCCCCACAGATCCCATCTGAGCCCTATGGAACTCCCCAGCCCCACAGATCCCCATCCTAACCCCATTGATCCCCATTCCAGTCTCACAGGTCTCATCGCAGCCCCACATATCCCATCTCAGCCCCATGGATCCCCATTCCAGCCCCACAGATCCCCATCCTTAACCCTATGGACCCCCACTGCAGCCCCACAGATCCCATCTCAACCCCATAGTTCCCATCCCAGCCCCACAGATCCCATCTGAGCCCCATCGAACTCTCCAACCCCACAGATCCCCATCCTAACCTCATGGATCCCCATCCCAATCCCACAGTTCCCACTTCAACCCCATAGATCCCATCCCAGCCCCATGGATCCCCATTCCAGCCACAGAGATCCCCATCCTTAACAGTATGGATTCCCACTGCAGCCCTACAGATCCCATCCCATCTCAACCCCACAGATCCCATCCCAGCCCCACAGATCCCATCCCAGCCCCACAGATCCCATCCCAGCCCCACAGATCCCATCCCAGCCCCACAGATCCCATCCCAGCCCTGGTTCCCCCCACTCACCCCTGCTCTGGTTGTACCGGCCCTGCAGCGTCTCCAGGTTCCTGGCATTCACGAGCTGGTTCCCCTTGGAGATCTCAGTCTCACTTTCCCAATATCCCGGCTCGGGTCCGTCCTTCATCCACGGTGTCAGTGGCTCTGCCCGGCCCCGCTCGCTGTCATATCGGTCAAAGGGGATCCCATCCAGGTACCCCATTTCCATGTACTGGGGGAGCCCCGGGCCTGGCTCTGACACCGCCACATACTGGTAACGCAGGGAGTGGAGAACTGGGGGGACACAGAGATTTGGGGGGTCTGGAGGGATCATGGATCAATGAAAGGGGGAATGGGAGAGCTGGGAAGGGATTTGGGGATGCCAGGGCCAAGGAGAGGGGTACAGGGATGGGATCAAGGAACCCAAAGGGTCCCTGTGCCAAGGAAAGGGGGTCCCCAGTGTTAAGGAAAGAGGGGTCACAGGGTGGGGAGAGCTGGGATAGCCGGGAAAGGGGATCCTGGAGGTGCTTGATGCAAAGAGGGGAATGAGGGCTGGGAAAAGCAGGAATGGGGATCCAGGGGGTCTCAGGGTCAAGGAAAAAGGGACTGGGGAAAGCGGGATGGCTGGGAAAGGGGGTGCAGGGGGGGATTGGGGCAGGATAAGGGAGTGCAGGGCTCTGGAGTGCCAGAAAAATTGTTGCCTTGAAAGGCCGGTTTTTAATAATGACACAGACATGGTTAAGGGGATAAAAGGGTTTTACTTCGGTATTTGGGATCTCAGGTGCACAACTTGATGGCAGAATGCACACTTGTGTATAGCATGGATATAGGTTTTATAGGTTTCAGGAATTAGCATATCTATCTAGGATTTTTCAATATGAAATTTAAAAAAATGCAGTAATGTCTCTTTATTTTAATGAATCTCTTCTTAGATGAGACTAGAGCATAGTTTATACAAGATGTTTTGGACAGAAGGCTTTACTCAAGGCTGGATCTTCAGGTTTAAGATAGCACAGGGCTCACTGAGCCCTTCCTCAGGATGTTTGGTCTCTCTGCCCAGCAGAACTCCTAAACTAAGCTGGAATATCAGGAATTACAAGCATGTGGGYTAAGGGGTACAGGCGGATGCATAGAGGGAACAGAAAGCGTAAAAAGGAAAGGCAAAAATCATCAGGCATCACCAGTGCCTCGGCATGGAAGTTCAGGGGGGAAGTTCCTGGGAATTCCCCTGGATCTCCCCTGGAATCCCATTTGACCACCCCAGGGACCCTCCTGGAYCCCCCGGGAACCCACACAGGACACACAGGGGGTGAGGAACCGGGTGGACACAGAGATTGGGGGATCTGGCATCATCCAAGGGTCAGGAAGCAGAGCTGGGAGAGCCGGGAAGGGTCCAAGATTCGAGGAAGGAACTGGGAGAGGTGGGATGGGGGATCCAGGGTATCCCTGTCCCCCAGGAAAGGGGAATCCAGGGGTCCCCGGTGCTGAGGGAAGTGGGGTCTGGGAGCTGGGAAAGGCAGGAGTGGGGGTGTAGGGGTTCCTGGGGTCACAGCAAAGGGGGGTCTGTGGGCTGGGAGGGGCGGGTGGATCTCTGAGGCGCAGATTGGGAGATGGGAAAGAGAAAGGGACCGAGGGAAGAATTCCAAGGAACTGGTCTGGATCTCACTGGATCCCCGCTGCAACCCCCCTGAGACACCCTGGGACCCTAGGGACCCTCTGGAACCCCCTTTCAGGAAGTGCCAGGAATGGAGAACTGGGGAGACTCGGAAATTTGGGAGATCTGGGGGGTGCGAAAGCCAAGGAAAAGGGCGGGTCTGGGGTCTGGGAAAGGCGGGATGCAGGGGTTGTTGGTGCAGGATGAGGGGGTGCAGGAGGGTCCCGGTGTCCAAAAATGGGGATTCGGGGGGGTTCCCGTGCCCAGGAATGGGGTACAGGGGGGTTCCCGTGCCGGGAATGAGGATTCAGAGGAGTTTTCATCCCAGGATTTGGGATTCAAGGGGGCCTCGGTGCCCGAATGTGGAGATTCAGGGGTGTCCCGGTGTTCCCAACCCATGATTCAGGGCCATACCCGTGTCCAGATAAGGGGGTTCAGGGGGGTCCCTGCTCCAATAACGGGTGCCGGGTTTCTGGTGCTGGGAACGGGATGCAGCAGGTTCTAGTATCCAGGAATGGGGATTCAGTGGGGTCCCAGTGCTGGATAACAGGGTGCAGGGGAGCAACAATACCCAGAAATGGGGGTTCAGGGCAGTCCCAGTGCCCAGGATTGGGGCTTCAGGGGAGACCCAGTGGCAGATAAGGGGGTATSGGGAGGGGTCCCAATGTGTGGAATGTGGGGAAAAGAGGAATTCAAGGGAATTCATCTGCACTCCATTGGATCCCCGCCGCTGTGACACCCCTGRGACAATCATTTGGGACCTTCCAGGACACCCTGGGACCCTCCTTTCAGGAATTGCTGGCAATGGAGAAATGGGGGAATGCAGAAATTTGGGAGATCTGAGGGAGTTCAACAGCTGAGGAAAAGGACGGGGCTAGGGTCAGGGAAAGGTGGCATGGCCGGAAAGGGGGTGCAGGAGGTGCCAGTAGCAAACGAGGGGGTGCAGAGCGGTCCCAGAGCAGATAAAGAGGGATATCGTGATATGTGTTATCCACAGTCCTGGATGAGGGAGTGCAGGGTGTCCCCATGCCCAGGAATGGAAGCCCAGGGGGGTCCAAGAATCAAGGAAAAGAGGGGTGAGGGCAATGGGAGAGGTGGGATGGGAGGACCAGAGGGTCCCTGTGCCCAGAAAAGGGGTTCCAGGGGTTCCCGGTGTTGAGGGAAAGTGAGATCTGTGACCTGGGAGAGGCAGGAATGGGGGTGCACGGGGTCCTGCGGTCAAGGAAAAGGGGGAATTCAAGAGCTGGGAGGGGCTGAGAAGGATTGCAGGGGTGTCCCGGTGCTGGATAAGGGGGTTCAGGGGGTCTCGGTGACCAGAAATGGACGTTCCAGGCTGTCCCTGTGCTGGGTAAGGGGCTCAGGGGGTCCCGGTGACGGGGCAGTCACCGGGCGGATCCCGGTGCCGCAGCTTGGGAGACGCGAAAGTCATCGAGGGAGGGCGGGGATTGGGGGATGGAGGGGAAAAGGGAATTCCAGGGAATTCATCTGGATCCCACTGGATCCCCGCCGCTGTGAGAACCACTCGGGACCCTCTGGGACCACATTTCAGGAAACACCGGGAATGGAGAACGGGAGGGATTCAGAAATTCGGGAGATCTGGGGAGCTCAAAGGTCCAGGAAAAAGGCGGGGCTGGTGTCTGGGAATGGGGGGATGCCCGGGAGGGGGTGCAGTGATGTCCTAGGGCCTAATAAGGGGGAGCAGGGGGATCCCGGGGAATGGGGATGCAKRAGMGTCCCAGGGCACTGGCAGGGACAAAGTGGTGTCCCAGTACCTGGAAATGGAGGTTTTCACGGGGGTTCCCGTGCCCAGGAATGGGGGTTCAGGGGGGTCCCGGTGCTGCGGAAGGGGTAGGGTGGGAGTCACGATACCAAAAATGGGTGTTCAGGGGGGTTCCATTCCCGGGAATGGAGGTTTAGGCGGTTCCCCGTTGCCGGAAATGGAAGTTCAGAGCTGTCCCGGTGCTGGGGAATTGCGGTTCAGGGGGGTCCCGGTGCCGGGGGTCCCACTCACCTCTCGTCGCTCCCCCCGGGGCCCCCAGGAGCGCCAGGAGCCCCAGGAGCACCCCCAGACCCGGCGCTGGAGCCATCACAGATCGATCTCTGTGGCGCAGT